AAAGGACCAGCATAAACCAGCAAAGGACCAGCTTAAACCAGCATCCCAGCGTCAAAACATACCTAACCAGCATATGCTGTTTTTTTCAACAGGATTAATAAAGACATCGACAACCAAACACACAAACACAAGAACATGACTGAAGAATGAGAGATTATCACAGATTTAGTAGCTATAGTATTTTATTATTTTCATCAACCTCGTCAATATATCCAAAAGTTTGGGGTTTGTTTGCTTGTTTTTGAAAGGAATTGACACTTTTATTCATCAAGGAGGCATTATAATGTTACAAAAGATTTCTATTTTAAATACATGCTGTTCTTTTGAACTTTTGATTAATCAAAAATCCTGAAAAATAAAATGTATCACAGTTTCCACAGCACAACTGTTTTCGACATTGATAAAAATCAGAAATGTTTCTTGAGCAGCAAATCAACATATTAGAATGATTTCTGAAGGATCACGTGACACTGAAGACTGGAGTAATGATGCAAATCTTAGTAAATGCATTTTAAAGCAATTGACCTTGATGTATTACAGTGTCATTTTGGCGTAAGATCTTCCTGTATTCTCATTGTGCGCAGATGAACTGCAGACTGTGGCGGGTTTAGATCATGTGTACCTGCAGCTGGTTTCATCATAGTCTCCCGTGGATTTAAGCGTGTTTGATAATGGAGCGTATTATCCCATTATCCGTGGTTGAAGACGAGGCTTAAACTAAAGCAGCCGAGAGACTGAGAGATTAACACAGTGGTTCCCAACCCTGGTCCTGGAGGCACCCCAACACTGCATGTTTTGCATGTCTCCTTAATCAAACACACCTGATTCAGATCACAGACTCGATCCCAGAGTGCAGACACTCCAGCGGCATGATGGGATTGATCTCTAGACACCAAACTCTGATCATCTGCAGACAAGATTAGTCTTCATTCGTCTGCATTCACTGCTATATTTACACGCGCCTCTCCTGCACCTGTCTCATTCTAAACACATAATCTATAAGATAATAAACAGTCAGACGCCAGATGCTTATGTGGAAAAACAAAACCTCCTCTAATGCCTGAGGAACTACAGGAAGATGCTGGTCAAAATGAAATATCATGATGTATCGCAGGGTCAAAGGACAATGGCGCTCGACACGTGGCCATCTATAACCTCATCACAGCGACAAACGCAAACAAACAAAGGTTTGGATCAGTGGCTTATTTCATGAAACCGGTTTCAGTGGTTACTCGGGTAAGTTTAAGTGTAGTTTCTGCAAACTCAGTTTTTGTTTTTTGTTCAGAATCTCTTCTAGAAGAATCTGGAAGCACTCGAGGCTTGTGAAGCGACACTACTGTGATAAGAGCCTGAGTGACTGACACACACACACACACAATTTATCATCTCATTAGGAAATAAATCACATGTCAGGAATGAACGACAAATATTAAGGCCTACAATTAAGATTTATGTATTTTAATTGCATTTAAAATGTCCATGCATTTGGATTGCAGTTTTAACAAACTAATAAACTTAATGCAATGAATATTTGTCAGTCACACATAAAAGAACAGATCAGATTTCTGTAATAGTACTAATAAACTGAATGTGTTTAAAGTGCACATTAACCAGGTTAATATAGTTTTCATGTAAAGTCAAGTCACCTTTATATAGCGCTTTATACAATACAGATTGCGTCAAAGCAGTTTTACAGTGTTAAACAGAAAAAAAACGTGTGCTGATAATGCAAAAGGACAATAGAACACAGTCCATTTATCAGTTAAAGTCAGTTCATCGTTGATTCAGTGATGTCATTGTCCAGCTCAGTTCAGTTTTCTTCCAATAGTATCTGTGCAATCAAGTCAACAAAATTGCCAGAAATTGTGTCCCCAACAAAGCAAGCCGAAGGTGACAGTGGCAAGGAACCAAAACTCCATTGGTGACAGACATGGAGAAAAAGAAAAAAAACCTTGAGAAACCAGGCTCAGTCGGGGAGCCAGTTCTCATGGTGTGGTTTAATTCCAGACTGCAACACAATCAGATTGTGCAGAGGACTCGTCTGGTTCTCGTGGTCTTGTGCCGATGGCCGACAAGGTCTTCACAGGGGATCTGTCTCTAGGGTTCGTCTAGTTGACATGGTCTCCTCTGACATTCAGGGCTGTAGAGGTCATCTCTAGGTGCTGATCCACCATCTGGTCTGGATACATACTGGATCTGTATGGCGACCTTAGAATAAGAATGAAAGAGACTAATATTAGTGTAGATGCCATTCTTCTAACGATGTAGCGGGTACATCGTATGTTATTGGAAGTGTTCCCGGTTCCGGCTGACCTAATCAATGCAGCCTAACAATCCTTTAACGGATTTGAATTATAGAAATGCGATAGTGTATTATGTGTACGTCAGGTTAAAGAGATGGGTTTTTAATCTAGATTTAAACTGACTGAGTGTGTCTGCCTCCTGAACAACACTAGGTAGATTATTCTAGAGTTTGGGCGCTAAATAGGATCAGTCTGGATCTGCTGCCAGCAGTACATGTTGTTGGTTTAGATCAGTGATCCTCAAATCTGGCTCGCGAGATCCACTTTCCTGCAGAGTTTAGCTCTACCCTAATCAAACACACCTGAGTTTGCTAATCAATGTCTTCAGGATCATTAGAAAATCACAGGTAGGTTTGTTTGATTAGGGTTGGAGCTAAACTCCGCAGGAAAGTGGATCTCGTGAGCCAGATTTGAGGATCACTGGTTTAGATGATTTAACAAGTTTATAGTCCTGTCCTACAGCAGAGAAAGAGTGGAAATGCTCTTCTGGCTGGACTTCCATCAAGCACAACGAACCTCTTAAAATGATTCAGAATGCAGTGGCAGGACTGGTCTTCAACGAGCCCAAAGGAGCCCATGTTACACCTCTCTTTATCTCCCTGCACTGGCTACCGGTTGCGGCTCGCATCAAGTTCAAGACAATGATGCTTGCATATAGAACAGCCACAGGCTCAGCACCCACCTACTTCCACTCACTACTACGAATCTACAGGTGCATCTCAATAAATTAGAATGTCGTGGAAAAGTTAATTTATTTCAGTAATTCAACTCAAATTGTGAAACTCGTGTATTAAA